CCGTCCGCAAGATATCGGACCACAAGAAGTTGGAGACAAAACTCGATTACAAACCCGTGTAATGAATGCCAGCGAAAGAGAAATTGTTGTCTAATTCTATGATTAATTTCCTTTCGTTTAATTAAATCTAATATTTGTGTGTTTTTAATGTATAACACTTCTCATGAAAATTAATTATATTTTTTTATTGCCAAACATGTGTTCACAAAATTGCTTTTATCTCTAAATAACAATCTGTAAAATAAGATAAGATTTGTACACATTTTGTATTTTATTAGCAATTGATTAAAAAAATTGAAATAAACTTTAATAACAATTTATAAAACAAAAATAGTATTCATTTTTTACACATTGCTGTATAAAACTGGTTCATAATGTGACCGACATTTGGCCACATATTTGAAAACATTTCAAGGCTTTATTGGTTTGAAATTGAATTTAAATAATAAACTGTTATTTTAATTGAAACAAAATGAGTTTCCAGTCGATGAGCTCATCGTTGGTCGCGTCCAAGTGTTTGGCCAACAGTTACCCGAACTTCGGGTCAATAACTAAGTTATTATAACTTGCAATCAATTCAATTGAAATATATATTGACGTTATTTATTTGACACTATTTTAAGAATCAAATGTATTGAATGAACGTAAGACATGTCATAAGCATTTTTATACCTTTTTATAATAACAAACGCATAGAAATGTAGCGATAGTTGTATTGTGACAAATAGTACCAAACATTCGGACACTTATTACAAGCCTTTTAATGGGTTTATTGCATAGCATTTGGCGCTAAAAGTGTTTGCATTGAGTCATTGGAAAGCAATACTTATGTTGTGTTTAGGGATTGAATGGAAACACAGATTGAGTCCATTGTCTAACAGAACACACGATTCAATCCATACATCAATTGATCCCAAACTGATCGCACAATCAACACATCGATGACATCCTATCCATCACTTCCAATGGTTCCGGCGCTGTCTGTGGGCTGTCTGAAGCGTATTATCAAGTCTACGGGTCCGCCCACCGCCGCTGACGTCCGCCAATCGGTTGTCCAGATTCTTGGGACCAAACGGGTGGCCAACGGATCCATTCGTTGCATACTATGGGATGGCGTCGACTCTTATAAGATGGCTATCATTAAGCAGTCGCCCGAAAATGACGCCAAAATGGCGTCCAATCAGTTCCAGACCTATTCGGTCGTCCGACTCATCAACTATTGGGTGTCCACTATAGGCGCCAACGACGCGGAAGTGCTGGTCATCAGCCAATTGGAGACATTGATGACAGGTTTGTGTCCATCACCACAACTGGTCCCACAATTTCTAACTCTTTGTTTCCAAAGGTTCGCAAATCAACTGTAAGCTTGACGTCGGGCCGCAGCCGACGCCCGCCCCTTTGCCACCGCCGGCCAACACTTGCGATAACCAAAACAATATGAATAACGCGAATAACGAGGCGTCGATCGACACGTCGAAAGTGTGTCCAATTCTGGCCATAACTCCGTTCTTCAACGCGTGGCTAATAAGGGCTCGAGTGGTGTCGAAGACAGCCGTCAGGACTTATAAGGGACGCGACGGGAAAGCCGACGGACGGCTCTTCTCTTTCGATGTGGCGGACGATTCGGCGGACATTAGGTTCACTGCATTCAACAAAGAGTGCGACAAATACTTCGATATCATTGAAAAGGATATGAATTACTACTTCCAAAGAGGAAGCGTTAAGTCCGCGAACAGAAAGTATTCAAACCTTAAATCCGATTACGAAATCACTTTGAATGCCGACTCAGTTGTAGTGCTGTGTAATGAGGCGATGGCAGCGCCGCCCGTGCGCTTCCGCTTCACCGCAATCGCTCAATTGGAAGGTCAGGCCGTCGGCGATCTCGTGGACGTCATCGGTGTTGTACGCAATGTGGGAACCATTCAGACGATTGTGGCGAAGAAGACAAGCATTGAATACCGCAAACGTGACGTTAGTATAGTTGACAAGACGTTGGCTGAGGTTAGGCTCACTCTATGGAGTGAAGAGGCCGACGGGTTCTGTGGCGTTGCCGGACAAGTGATGGCCATTAAAAACGCAATCGTCGGCGAGTTTAACGGCAAAACACTGAAATGCGCGGCCAATGCGACCACTGATTTGGATCCAGACTTACCCGAAGCCCATATACTNCTGTGGCGTTGCCGGACAAGTGATGGCCATTAAAAACGCAATCGTCGGCGAGTTTAACGGCAAAACACTGAAATGCGCGGCCAATGCGACCACTGATTTGGATCCAGACTTACCCGAAGCCCATATATTGAAGGGTTGGTACGACCGAGAGATGGCCGGCGGCGGCCTTAAAGACATTCGAGCGCTGAGCAAAGGCAGTGACGGCAACGGCGGCGCAAATGAGACCAAATATTTGTGTCAAATTAACGAAGAGTCTGTACCCGAAGGCCAGACAGTGTACTATAATTGTAAGGCCACTGTTGTGGCCACCAATCGGTCGGAGCGACACATGTATAAGTCGTGCGCAAACACCGGCTGCTCGAAGAAAGTGCGCGAAGAAAACAATTTCTATTATTGCGAGAAATGTAAACACAATTCACCTCAGTTTGAGTGGCGGCTTATGATCTCGTTGTCGCTCAACGACCCCACGGGTGACCATTGGGTGACCGCTTTCCAAGAGGTGGCCGAAAAGATTACGGGCAAACCGGTGGCCGAACTGTCGGCCCTATACGAGTCGAGTCCCGATGAATACCAGTCGTTGATAACATCGACACTATATTTCAAGACATTTGTATTCCGAATCGGTTCCCGAATCGATGTGTATAACGACGAGCGTCGCGTGAAGTCGACGTGTTTCGCGGCCACACCTTTGGATCCGATACAGCGCTCCAAAGAGTTGATTGAATTCATAAAGTCTTCGATCAACTGATGTCTTAATAATCTCTTCAATTAGAGGCCACGGCTCTGGCCAATAGGGTTTTGCCGGTTCCGGGCGGACCGTAGAGGAGACAACCCTTCGGTGGAGTGATGCCCACCCGAGCGAACAGCTCCGGGTTAAGCAGCGGTAATTCAATCACTTCCCGGAGCTCACGGATCTGTTCGCCGAGACCACCGATGGACGAATAGTTCACGTCTTCCGGGTCTTCGTGAGACATGATGTACACCAACGGATCCACTTCTCGCGGCAGATATCTCATGACTGCCATAATGGCTATGACAACGCAAATCATACCCTAAAAGCACAGATTCAATGATATTTATAAAACGTTTACAAATTGTGGGCAAAAAACACTTACAATGAATCCAAACTGTATTCGGGAGATCTCGCGGCGCATTTCAATTACTTGGGCTGTCATTAAAACGGTATTATTTTTCGTGTTTTAATTCAAATTATTTCACACAAAAGCACAGACTTTACAGATTAGTAGAAATGCAAACACAAAAAAGCTTTTAAATGAAATGACAAACAAATTAGTGATCGGAGAGAGAGTTAGAAGTATTTGCAGGGATTGTATGCTAATGAATGGCCAAACCTTTCAATATGATTAGCGCACACGCCGTGTGCCGTATCGTCGCCTTTAAATACTGGTCTATTGTGTTAAATAACATGCAATTGGCATACAATACAAGACAATACATACAACAAAAACCAAACCATTAAATGTAAGTTAAAAACAATTATTATTAGTAAATGTGACACAAATGGCATACCGTTTAATAAATGAATTCGAGGGCTCCGGTTGTGGGCCGATCGTAGCGATGAT